CCCCCCTCCCATGTTGACTGCGAAAACAAGTATTGAAGGATACTGTCCCATCTGTTCAATGCACTGGGTACCTGGGTTCTGTATGAAAAAAGAGTATGTTGAGGTCAAGTAAGTATTGACATTCCTGCACTACATTGTTGTTTAAAGTGGTGATTAAATCCTTGGCTCTCTTCTCCAACCTGTCAGAAAAGTTAACGAGTGGGAAATTTGGAGAAAGTTAGTTATGTGGTTCTCAGCCACAGCTGCAACTGTTTCCAGGTTGTAATTGGTGTTTGCAGTCGCAAGCTGTTGCTGAGGCTCACAGACAGCACTACTCTGGGGAATCAGTTTTCCTCACATGATGAGGAGAAAGGTGGCTCCAGGAAAATTGTCTACCTGTACCTACCTAAACTGTGTTATAAATAGTCCTCCTATTAAAATTGGTTTATCAGCCAGGTTTAACTCCGAAGTCTGAATCGGCCTTGAACTGTGAATTTTCTGGAGAGGACAAAAATTTAATTGATGCGAGGTAATGCGACATAGCTGTATTGGGCTCTCGTGGTTGTTGAGTTAGGACAGAATGGTTTGATCAAGGCTATGAGATTAACTTTCTTCATCATTCCTGGAGATTAAGTGTTTTTAAGTGTTAGGTTGAGGGTAAAGATTATGGATAGACATGTAGATGTGGTAAGGCTTGGGTAAGGGCTAGAAAATGGATTTATGTTAATGAAAGTCATCACAAATAAAGTATAGATACTTATCAGTGCGTAAACATTTGAGGACATTCATTGATATAGGGTATTTCCTAGACCTTCCCCGTACCTCATTCCAACCATAACAATAAAATCTAATGTTAACCCTCAAATAGCCCTTAGAAATGTCTTCATGCTGAAGTTCTTAAAACGGTCCTCACATACAGGACGTGCACAAAAGCACACTTACGCACACAAATTCAGGCTCAGACTCTCAGACTAGTAAATAATTCAACATTGAAAACAAAACACAAAAAAGTGGGCTGTTGATGAAATTAATGATAATGCTGACTAGACAGTTTTTGTTGTTTGTAAAATATGGCCATTAAACCATTGTTTCCAATTGTAGAATAAGCCAATGCTGTATTTTTCCTTCATTATAATGGTTAAGACTGCATATAATACTGCCTTGATAAGTCATCTATTGGTGTTGTGAAAACCTTGCCAATGGGATGAGATTATTTCAGTTAATTTTGATACCAATCAGCTTGTTTCAATAATTCTCTAGTAAAGGTGTAATTTTCTGAAACATTATGTTGTGTTGTGGAGTAGGAGTTAGCAGTTAACCAAACTATCATAATGGAGAAAAGGCTAGATTGCTTTAAAGAAAATAACTCAAGGTCACTCAAATTACAATTCACACACATTTTTGTACAGCTGTGGCTCTTGTCAGCACAAAGTAGTTATCCACTCTCAGCCAAAATGGACCACGACTCCTTAAACATTCAGAAAACAGCACCTCAAAAGCCAGTTTAAAACTGTTCCTATATCTTAATCCTGGCTGTTGATATGAGTTTGACTGGTGACTTTAAGGCTGTGATTACATGCACACTGAGATTAAGTGATTGAGACGTGGCTGTTGCGACATTTTCCCCAAATACTTTCAATTTGTTTATTTGATTTTGCAAGAGTTAGCGTACCTTTGAATAAGTTGCTTCACATGTGAGCAACACAGATACTGTAAGAAATAATACTTGCTGCTGTTTAAACAAGACAGTATTGTTAGGTTGATGGAGCAAACAGTATGTCTTATGTAGAGTCATCTAAAACAGAGGAGATCAGGAGGTTACTGAGGCCAGCTGGCCACTTGACATGGCTTTGCTAGAGCCACTAGCGGATTGGCCCGTCAGGAGAGTTGGGACATTTCCCGGTGGCCTGAGGGCCGTTTTGGCCTGCCGTTAATTGTCAACTTGACCAGCGGCAGCGATAATATGGTAAACTTTTTATATAATCGAGCAAGCAGGACATTTGGCGGATCCTCTCTGTTTCTCTGCCGGTGTTGAGAGCTTCCACGCAGGTGCCACATGTTCAGCGTTTGTGTGTATAAAACTTTTTCAGACAGGGTGCGACCCTCCTCCTACGTCCTCTTATGGATCTGCGGGGTCTCACAGCGCTCCTCATGTGAACAAATATGCAAACAAGCGCTCCGCGAGGAAACACATAGGTTGTAACCATAGCAACGACTTCTGTGCGCTACTGAATCTCTTTTCTTTATTGACCAGGCCTATAGAAAACATTAAATATAGACTATCTAGTAGGAAATATTGAAAGATAGAGGTTTTATTTTTGTGCTGTTTGCGTTATGGACACTGGTGACTGAACATTGAAATCAATATTTCTTTACATAGGTTATAGGAGTGCTTTTTTGACATTTGCATTATAGGCCTACTTACTTTCATTTCATTACATTTCCCAAATGTGTGTAGAAGAACATAGTGGCAAAGACTATACCTGGTTTGGTCCCCGTTACACCAACAAATAGGGTTAGTCCACAAAAATTTGCAGTTTGGTGGTTTGTGTGAACAGGGTGGCCTGGGATGGAGTCAAATTCCCGGCCTGAATTATTGTGCCAGTCTGCCCCTGTTTAGAACATAGCACCTTGCGTAATTTCTAGAGTATGTTGACATTGTAAGCGAATATTTGCCACCTACTGCTACTACTTGCAGCTTTTGCCGTGCATCTTAAGCTAGCAGGAGGAGGCAGAGTGAGGTGACTTTTCAAAACCTTTTTCAAGACCTTTTCAACATATTTTAAGACTGCCGTGCCACTTTGAGCTATAACTGGTTTAGACAGAAACACACCTTTTTAAATAGGGTTTTATGTAAATTTTTACAATAACTTTAGTAAAACATAACATGATGAACATGTTGCTCTGAGGACGAGGCGGATAAAAGCAGCACAATGGCATCCTGGCTTTGGCTAAATCTATATTTATATATTTCCCTGTTGTCTTCTGTCTTACCGCTTCACCTGCTGACGGTGCATCTTGTTTTTGAGTAACGGGGCTGTTCAAGTGGCGACATAGCTCAGTCCGACTATGTTTTGAACAATTGGCATGGGGGTCCGATATGGTGGAATATTATTGTTGGTTATACTTGTAAATCAGTTCGCACAGATCTACTTTTAGGGGCGTATGAGAGTACAACGCTCTCACAGTAGATCCCTGCGCCTAACGTTACACCGAAGAATCGCACAGACGCTAAAGTTACGTCCTGCCTATCAAGTGTTTTCGGCTGTGCAAAATAAATACGTTCACCCACACTTTTAGAATACAAACTCTTTGAGCACACTGAAAATATCTACAAAATGTAAAACCTTGTTAAATGGCCATTAAGACTTTTTAATACTTTTAATGGCCTTAATTTTCGCAAAATTGACTTATCACCCTTTAAGACTTAAGACCCCGCAGACACCCTGCCTATCACAATGTGCTTTGTGTGCATTTACACCTTGCATTAACATGAATATTTCCTTATCCAGATACAGATCACATCAGGTATAATTGGGATCAGTCAAAGGAAAATCATTTGTCTTTGCACCTAACCCAAAGAGTAATGTCTTGAAAGTGGTCATACATGGTCAGTAATCAGTCATTGCGTAAGCAGTCATTGTTCTGGTGATTTTGCTCCATATTTCCTTTAAATCAAACTATCTCCTTGGTTGCCATGATTGCAAAAGAAATCCCATTACCTACCCAGGAAATATAAGATGCGTTTATTTGCACAACAGGAAAGAAAGTGCTACCAGACAGCGGGATTTAGAAGAGCAAATGTTAAAACTTTCATGAACCGTGTATCATTATTGTGCTAAAGACTCTATAAAGAGACATTTGTTAATATGAAAATGTTGCACATTACTACTTTAACCATAAAAATGTCTTGGAGACGGAGTTGTGAGGGGGAAAAAAAGAAAAAATAACAGACATAACTACTTTATCTCCTATTTAAAATCCCATCTACCATTAAAGTACTGCTGTAACAGTGAATTATAAATATACCAATATTAATATTTGGATGGCTGCTTTTCATTGCATCATTTATGTGTCATTGCCAGCTTCTGTTCAACTCTTTCCCATTCTGATTATCTGATACTACCTGTCAGGCAAACACATATTAGTGCTTCAGCAAAACGCATTAAATGTCTGCAGAGCGAAGGAAGTGACAGTCTGTGTTTTATGGTCCGTGCTCCTTAAAGCTTCACAGTTAGAAGGGTTTTAGTGTTGGCTGCTCACTGCAGGTGGTACAGGCAGGAAGTAAAAGTTAAAAAAAAATCTTGGTCTCATTGTAAAGCTTTTATTTTCCTCATGATAAAAAGAAAAAGCACAGCAAGTAACATAAAAGCTTTCTCACTAACTCAAACACACAGTGTGGAAGTTACGCTTTTAGAGTGACTTTAATTTTGTATTTATATATACAGCAAGTGTTGAAAGTTATAACAGATTAATTTTAGTTGATTTTAAGACTGTGCTTTGGCTGAACTCTTATGTGTAGATATGAAGTACACGTCAATCCTCCGATCAGTTGACTTCGTCTTCTCATATTTTGACACATAGTTTATGGCTCTGACATCTCAATTTTCACAGAAGGGTCATTGTCCTCGTAGAAAAAGTGCTTTTTATAAATTAACACAAAGTCGAAAAGTCTAGTTTAACTGGAACATAGTTGTTTTGATCATCACATCTATTCTGCATGTTTCCTTTTAATAAATTATTTTAAACATTTCAATATGGCAGAGAAATATTATTAGAAGCACACAAATTACCATTTACATTTTTAAATATTTACATCAAAATTACAGCAAAAAGGAAATACAGAAAATCATGAATTGTTCTGTTTGACTTCACATCTTGTTGATCCACTGGTACCTGGGCTGAAGGGCTCTGTGTGCCAAGTAAAGCCCTGAGCGCTTGTTAAATCATCCCGCTCTGTCCTGTAAGGTCAGTGGGACGTCAGGGATCCTGCTAAATGAAATACTCCTTTTGGTTTTCAGTGGGAGCACTCTGGGAGTCCGCCTGGCTGCTGAAGGGGAACTCATGGCCATCTTCAGGCTGCGTTGCTTTGACTTCTTGGTTTCGATACGTCTCTTTCCTGCTGCAAATGAATCTGGCCATTATCGCCAAGGCAGACACAGCGATGAAAATCACCACAGCGATCAACCCTAAAACAGAAATACATGAGTACATATGAGTTTTGCTTCAAAACCACATGCATGAACGTAGGTAACCAGGTTACTGTCAGCTTTCTGCAATGACTTGACTTCTGCAAGGAATAGATCCTTTTGGAAAATCTGCTTATTTTTTGCCAAGAGCAACACTGATAAGAAGATTGATACCACTCTCATGTCTTTTTGACCATTTCACATTCCTGTCAATTGTATAATACAATTCCACTGATCTACAGGTGGCGTTAATCCGACAGGAAAAACAGCAACACACCAGGATAGGCATGGGAGCAGACGAATGACATGGATGTAAATGATGCAGGATTTAAAATCGGGGTTGCAAATATTTTAGGAGGAAGGACATACATTTAACCTGTTAGTTAGACCTCAAGGATACACACGGTGTGATGTGGTGAGAAACGATTCATATATAACTTCAGAGGGAACCTTTTTAAGCTTAGCAAAATCACTACAAGCAAGGAGAAAGCTTGCTGTCTACAAAGTTTAAAAAATAACCACCACCTCTATATCTCACTAATTAACACGTATCATGCTTGTTTAATCTGTACACAAACAGAAATGTAAAGGGTCATGTATTGCCAAGCAATTCTATTCCTGGGAAGGTTGTAACATCCTCACATTTACATAAGAAAGTCAACAAACAGGGTAAGTATCAATGTGGCAGCAGTACTGAGGGATAGGGAAAAGATTATGACTTTGCTTTTTTTAAATGCAGTATATATTTAAATCCAAACTAACAAAAACTGGAATGAATTAAATAGCCATAAGGAAAAACTCTGGTTTCTGTCACTGCAGGGCATGTACTCTCACTTTGCATTCAGTCCAAATGCTCTGACCGAAAAAAAAAAAAGAAGGGAAAACAACAATAGCAATATATATATCTATAAAAACAAATTCAGTCATGCCACATCATCACATAAACCAGCAACACCAGCTACAGACAGTGATACTCAACTCTTCTGCTAATATAGCTAACATCCCATCAACAGCATATCTTGGAAGACTAGAAAGTAAACTGAATGCATATAAGTCATTTAACGTTACCTAACAAATAGCATAGATGGAATAGTGTATGTGTGTATATATTTTTTTATTATTGGACTTTTATGTATCTACTATGAATTTTTTTTCAAAGATTTGTTTTAGGTTAAAACAAACTTTATCACTAAAGTTGGTTTCATTTATAAAGCAAACTATATTTGGGAGTTAAATGCTGAATTAAAGTGGTTTTAAAATGGAAACTCAATTCTAAAATCCTTTTGTCAGTGTCCCAAATCTTATCATTAAACAGCCAACCCATTACGTCTCTTCACTACCTCCTCAAGTGAGGAAAGAATCATTTTGATCAAAAACTGATGTCTCTTTCCCATCTAACATCTCTTGGTTAGTCTTTTAAGAATGACTGTTTTACACGTGATAATCTTCCCAAATATGAAGTTATGCCATCATAATATTTTACTGAATTGTTATTATTGCAGCTGAGATCAATTGCATTACCTCCGATTAGAGCTGAGTCACTCCTGATGGCATTGACTAAAGGTTGACCTGGATCTACTGATCCAGGTTGGTCTGTAGAGAGACAGAGAAAAAGTGAATAAAAAGTAGAAAAGAAGTCGAGAAATTAAAGGCAAAAAGGTCAACAGGAAAATCAAAGACATTTATAGAGACAGAAGAGAAGGTAGAGTCAGTGTGAGAACCATCAGTCAATGCAGAAAGTGCTTGGTGAAAGCCTTAGCTCAGCCACAAAGGACGTCAGTACAGTTGTCTGACTCTGATCTCATCTGTCGTAGTGCCATCACTCTTGTCTGCTTACCCAGGAGGATGGTTAATGAGCCCATAAAAAGGTCTAATGAACAGCCCTAAGAAAAATATTAAAAGGCATACCAGATGGATTCCAACATTGAGAGAGTTTGGGAGTTACCTAATGATATATAGTGTAGTATAGTCTGGGATATAAGAGCTGAGTCTGCTCCTTGTACCTGATAAGGAGTGTGTAGTTTCTGCAGCGTAGGGATTAGCTGGAGAGGAGGAACCACAGCTCGACTGGGCCAATGGGCCGGTGACAATAACAGGGCTATCGGGGTGCAGCAGAGCAGCTTTCAGAGGACTGATGGAGTTAAAACGAACACCTGACAGACAGCCAGTGAACCCAAGAGAGGCTAGCCCGGCCAGCTCTACATCCAAATCATCAGACTCTGAACACAGAGAGAAGAACACAGAGACAAAACAGACTGAGTGAGAAGACACATTTGTTATCAGTTGTAATTACATGCGTAAAATACAGCCGTGATAAACATCAAATTTATCTTGATGAGACCATGGTTGCGAGGATAAGTGGTATCTATCTACATCTTAATCATTTTAATATTCGTTTCGCTGTTACAAAAGAAGATAATCCCGCCAAATAAAACATTGATAACCACACATGTTCAAAGGCAAAGTTTTTGAATGTTAAAATCGATGTTTTGAAACAATTATTCCTTCAATATTCATGCATGCTAACTACAGTGGTATTAGAAGGTTATGCAGCTGAAAGGTTAAAAAAAGCTCATGGTTAAATATATAAAAAAGAAATGTTGGTCTGAGATGGGACATGAATTGCGGTGTCCAGCATCAAAGTCAAATGTGTTATGCTCTACCCTTGCCATTTTTCACGCTACAGTACATAAAGGTTGCACTACTTCCAGCATCTGCACTTAATATTACCTCTGAACATAAATCAAGTCCTGTAGCATCTACCAATATAAATATTATTGTTGGCTGATCCTCCCATAGGCTTTTTATTCCTTCTGCCACTGTGAAAGTTTGAGTTGAGGTTTGAGATCAGTAACCTCCCTTTCTTTGTGGGTACTCAGACCGACAGTAGCACTCAGTTAAAGCAACGCAAGGGACTGTGTGTTGGTGGGTGCTTGCTGTTTCGGATACTGGTGAGACAGTAACATATGATTCAGAAATACAAAAAATTCTGTAGGTTTGAACTTTTTACTGGATGACTCGGTGCAAAATGAACTTAAATGGATGAGGAGGGATGCATTGTTTTCATTGTATTGTAAAATACAATGAAGGAGGAGGAAAGGTGTTGGCCTTTTTTGTTGAAATGTAAGCTAGCTTCTGATTGTAAAAACCCTTATGTAGCAGTTTTAATAAACAGCTGGTAAGCAACAAACCTAAATCCACTCTAGTAGAGACTGAAATGTTAATTATACTGTACAATGTGAAACAAACTTCTCAATTTTTAGTCTTAACATTTATGGGGTACTAGAGGAAAATGATTGCTTCCCTTTGAAGCATGACTAAAATGAGCATGACAGACTTCCTTTTACATTATTATATTTATTATCCATTAGGATTCATCCTCTGAGGACCATGATTATCCTCAGCAAAGTACACAAGTGGAAATGTTGATCTGATTGACATATACCAACAAATGCACTGCAGTTCCCATATTGATGAAACCTGCCATGAAACACTATTGTTATATGCTTTTATAAATCAGTTTGACTAAATGTAACATACAGTATATTTATATGCAAGATTTTGTTACTCACTGGATTGTCTCTCAGCTGTCATAACAAAAACATGAATTTACAACCCCCCCTTAAGGAAGTACCTGTGTCTCAGTGTACTCAAAACGTAACAATCTGTGACAGCAGGTGCTAAATAAAATCTTCAGCAGCTATAAATGTCAGTGTTAACTACAGTTACTCCTGCAGTGCAATTTGATTACACAACACATTATTGCCAGTCATCTAAGTTATTACAAGAGAGAAGCAACTTTTCACCACATAAATGAGACACTGTGGAGTGGCTTGGCTGGAGAGGGCTGTTTATCAGCTGTATATTTGATCAGGCTTCGATTAAGTTTTTGGGCGGCAAATTATTGAGATAAGAGAAAAGGCTAAACACAACAGATTTAGCATTAGATTGTCTGCTATTGCTCTGGTGTACCATGTTTTGTCTCACACACACACCTCAAGACACACCGTTTCTTTATATCTAACTTTCTTTCCAACTGTTTTGTTCCAATACAGCAGGCAGGGGAGTGTTTTAAGTATTTTAATTAAAAACAAATGTGCTTCACACAGCATGCATGTGCATGTCTAACTATCTTTGTTTGGTTGCCAAACATGATGTCTTTGTGATAAAGGATTATCTGAGATTAAAGTGTAAACAAAAGCCAACAATTTTATGTTTGATTTGACAACTTGCGGTTTGTTAACTGTGTAAATGTCATTTTCTTCAATCATATTATTAGAACTCTTAAAATATGTTGCTTGTAAAAAGTGTTTGCTTGAGCCAGTTGAAGGCATGTGTATGCAAATGATTCCGGTGGTTCCGCCTTATTGTGAGCTACGAAAAACCCTGAAAATGTGGAAATAAACAGCTAAAATTAAGCGCATGAGATCCTAGAATGAATTAAATAAAGATTAATAAAAATTAAACAATATAGCATGATGTGGTATAATGTATTATTATTTACTATATAAATGATATAATAACCAGTATTACAGCTGAATAGAGACTGCGTCTTCACTAAGAAGTTTGTGCAAGCAGTCAAATCCCACACTGACAGCACTGGCCTTGTATCCATGAACTGAAGATTACTGTCCACCTCCGCCCTGTTGCTGCCCTTTACCTGCACCTCTCTCTGTATCACTATCTTACCTTCCCTCTCTCTGTGGGCATCTTCTCAGCCTCTCCATTCTTTCCTGGTCCATTAGTTAGGCTGATGGATGACAGCACTGGCAGGGAGTGACAGTATATCAACTATCTTGCTGCCTCTCTGATACTGATATGACTACCTGAGAGCCCAGAGGAAAGGCTGAGTCACATACTAACATGGCCTGGGTCAACGACAACAACACAAACAGAAATTAAGGAGCTAAATGTAAAAACAGCACCAGCATCAAGTTTCAAACATGTGCACCTTGTGTTGGTTTCTGCACAGGATGAGACTTATTTGGTTTTCATAGTTAAAACTAATTTATTCACTGGTGTGGTTCAAAAATCACTCATCCTCTCAGGGATGGAAGAGTCAATAGATTTTATAGATTCTAGTCTGTTTGTATGATTGTGCTTATTGATTTTGTTTCTAACCACCATTATTTCAATCAGAATCAGGCATCCCTTAACAGCCAGTTTGCCCTGTAATTGGCAAGCTGTCCAGTGTGAACCCTGCCTCTTGCCCAATTGCTAATGTAGGGTCCAGCTCAGACTGGATGATTAACGGGTTAGATAATGGACTGATGCATGCCTGGATAAATGACAAGATATTGTTCAAGATTCTTCAACGTTTCCATCAACAATTACCATACAGAGCTGCTGTGTTATGAGTTTTGATAGCGTCAGGTTTGTTTTAACAGAAGTTTAACTGAAACAATGTCAGTTGGCCTTCCACTACCTATTGATTGAATTACTTTTATTGTAGCTTTATTATAACTTAGTGACAATTATAGTCAGCAACGTTAGTGAATGCTAACTCCTTGGTATGTAAAAAATAGGAGGCAAAGGTCCCCTGCATGGTAACCATTTGGCACACGGGACATTCCTTGTGGTTCTTTATAGAAAATCACTTCCACTTGAAGTTGTAGCCTGAATTTTTAAGCTCTACTGTAGCTCTCGTCAGCTATATTATAAGAGTTATGCTAGATTTATTGTTGTGTAATGGCTTAGATTTGAGCCTGAGCACGTATGTAATGTTAATGTAACTATACATTGGAGCTTTGGTGGAAACTGCAAGAGCTATGATTGGTCAACTCGGGCAGCTTGCGTTTTCTCTTACAAGTTTCTGGTGGAGTTGATAGTGAAGACAATGTTAAAGTCAGTTAAGTCTACAAAAGGCTCAGTTATCTGCTCCTTTATCAGTAACATACATCTGCAGCAGAGCCACTTCCATTGCTCAATGAGATTGCTGCTCTGTATCACAGTTTCTATTAAAAATGACACAAGGAAAAATAGAAGTTATCTCACTATAAGTACATGAATTGCCCGCAGTCGGGAAAGCAGTACCTGTGGGTAATATAATTTAAGCACGATGGGATCATATAGATATATCCATGTAGTGCTGTGATGGTAATGTCAACAGGTGAAATCTGACACTGAACTATAAATTTTGCTGTGGATAACTGTAACTGAGGTATGTTTTTAGGAATAAGTGGGATGCCTGGTTCTTATAAATTTAGAATAGTTTCTAATTGATCTTTTGATATCCAACCTTACCTCAGACACACATGTTTAACAG